GCGTCTGATAATGTTTCTACGTGCTCCCGGTATACTCATTTAAACATTTTCGTGACATTTTTTAGTCTTGGATACCTTTATCGAGTGTTGGACAATGACTTTTTTTTTCCTATTTTCCTTTTTCATAAAAAAACGATCATTCGTTCAGAGGAGAAGTATCGCCATAAAGCATGAAAGGAAAAGTATCCCGATTGACGTAGATTTGGCTGAGACGAGAGGTTCGAAAACGTTTCGGATCTCGGCATCGAACCGAGAGGAAAGACAGCGAAATCGACATCGTGCAGGCGTCGTGGGAAAATTTTTTTACAAGACTCGTTAATATCTTAGGCACATTCGATCCACAATAGCGATGATAGTCTCGGGTTTTGTATTCTTTTACATTTAACGAGTGTTTAGCTTTCCCGTTAATCGCGGAAGTATTTTTGCGGTACTAACAAGATACATCGCGAAATATTTTACGCGAAAACCACGCAAAATTTTACTAGTTGAAATATATGTATACTTAGCACTCTTGTCAGAGTCGCTTATATTGTAACAAAAGAAGAAAAAAATCGATGGAAACTCTGATCCTCGACTTATCGTTAACGATACAAGTATACAATGTTGGGTCGCGGAAGAGTGGATGCCGGGAAAAAGAGTTTCCGTCAAAATTTCCGATATAAAATGGAGGCTTTCGATAATATCCCCTTTCGCGGAGTCAATTATTATTTTTAGGCACATTAAGACCATAGTTAATCGACGATTAGTCTCAAGGTTTCGTAAGAAAAAACAGTCTTCAAATTTGAGAAAGTGTTACGGCCTGTTTCGCTTTAATCGCGAACAGCCCTCCTTTTGCTAGACCCAATATTGATTTCTTCTTAGCAAGGGATTGTTGGTCCTTTGCGCGGTGCTCGATTGGCAAGGTAGATCGGATGTATCGAAACTGCTCCATTCGTCCCCATCCGCGACACCGTACGGATATTTCGCGGAAACATCCATTTCGGATCCTGTGATACTTTCCAGGGGGCTGAGGGGTATCACTTTGCATTGAGGTAGGGTCGACGTCATGGTCGGTAGAACTGGCAATGGAGTACTTGCTGTCACGCTGTTATGATCGTTCGCGTAACGTTTCACGTGAGGGGTGACGGGCATTAAATGGTCCGGAGGTCTCGGCAGAGGCATCACACCCACTGCTGGGGTCGGTTCTGGCTTCTCCTCCTCGGCATGTTTGTATTTATTTTGCCTACACCTAATAGTGATTATCACCACTACACCGAGTAAAAATACGCCTAGTAGCATCCCTAGAATTAACAGGTAATCGTTGCTCATGTTGGGCGCGATCGCCATTTCACCCTCGTGACCTACCGGGTCCATCGGACCACCTAACGTGATGTTATATTCATCCATGTCGAGTTTCACGCGAAAATCGAATTCGCCCACGGCTGGTTGAAAGATGGAGGCCGCTAAGATAAACGCGAAGCTATCGATTACCCCGTCGTATTCCATCGTTGGAATTTTTTTGCAAACCATATAAATCACACCCGACATCACCTCTTGATGAGAGAATTTGCTTACCTCTTTCTCTCGAGTTCCTCGTTTCTCGCCGGACGAGAAGGAACTTCTTATGATTCTCTTTATTTTACCAAATTTCGGCTTTTTGATAATCGTGTATATCGGATTGCTGCTCGTCAATTTAGCCAATGGCGTCGCATCCATATACTGCAACGTTATTCTAGTCTTCTCGCCTGCCAGAGCGATCATAGGATTTATAATCATCAGAGGTACTACCTTGATGTCAATTCTTATACGCTTCAGTTCAAATCCGCTCAATCGTGCGGTCAGCTCGAGACTGTCGTTCGACACGGTCATATCCGTTTGCATGAACATGACGCTTTTCGACAATAAATCTGTTTGTTTGAAACTAGCCGCCGCTCCATCGCGCACGTACAACACGCCATACTTTGGGGTAGTCGTTATGTCGTAAATGACCAAATCTTGCCTCGCGTTAGTGTCTAGTTTCACAGTGCTCTCGGAAATTAGAGCTACGTTCGATCCTTGCTGCAGATTTACAGGACCTAAGACGGTGACGTTCAGTTTGATAGGTAAAACGTAGACGTTGAACACCGTGTACACCGGGTTGAACCGTCCATCCCAAACTCTGAAGTAAAATGAGGCCGCTTGAAGAGGTCCGTTGTGCTCGTACACCAATCGATTGGAATCAACGTCGTGCTGCGTGAATTTGTTCACTTGACGAACTTCCGAGATATTCTCGTCGAACGGTAGAAGCAATAGACGACCAAACGTCGGCTTGGATATCACGTCGTATACGATTTCTTCTGGCGGAGTGTCCGGATCGGTCGTTAACAAGTTCTCTCTGGTTATCGTTTGATTCTGATTTTGAACCACCGTGATGGACGGCGCGTTTGTGATTAATTTGAATGGCTCGTCGTTGACCGGTTCGATTATCACCGGAATACTCGTGTTGCACAGAAGGATGTGACCAGGAGTCAAGTAAAGAGAAAAATTGATACGATCTTCCAAAGTATCCGAATGATCGTGATAATAGGCGATCTTGCCACCTTCGATCTGGGGTTGAGAGAAAGTGGTAACGTTTAAATCCGGGAGAATCATCACGTGGCCGTGACTAGGTTGATTGACCAGCCTCGAGAGTACCGCCGGATTCTCGATTCCAGCGTGAGTTTGAAGGAACGACACGATTCCGCTTATGTTCATCACTACCTGAGCCGAACCACCTTCTTCGACCCTCACGTTCTTTATGGAGATATATCTGTCCAATCCACCGCTGGAGACCGAGATATCTATTTGAAATACCTGCGAAGGAAGATGTAGCAAGGTTAAAATGATTTCAGGCGTACAGATATATTGGTTGTTTAACGGTGTCTTAGATAAAGATTATTATAATCTCGCCTGATTGGTTAAGGATTCCGCGAAATGTGCTTCCACGTCGAACGCGAACGAATCGTTGGCAGTCAGATCCATAAATTGTTTGGTATGTTCGTAGAAAACTTTGCTATTGTTAACATCCGTTTGCGTGAATCGTTCGACGTTCAACCATGCACCCTCGCTCGTCTCCATGATGATTTTTCCAAGATGCGGTCCATTTCGCACCGTATATTTTATCTCCCGAGTCTCGTCCGAGCATTTGGTCAACAGTAATTTGCTCGATATCATTTTTCTGGTCAACGGAAAAACGTTCAAAGCAACGTTTTGCTCGATGTTCAATCGAATCGGTTTCGTGGTCACCAGTATCGTGTAAGATTCCGTAGCGTGTACTCCATCGTAGAGTACGAAATTGAATTCGGCGTCGGATCCATCTGGAACGGAAAATCTTTTAAGAAATTTGAGTTTACGAATAAGTAGGAAATAATTTCTCACCATAACATACTTACTCGTATGCGTGAATATGACTTCGGATCGATCGATTTGTTCCTGAGTGAAATTGTAAATATCCACCCCCGGGGAAGATTTTAACGAGATTAATCCATTTCGAACTCCACTCACGTTAAATGTTATATCACGTGCCGTGGTATCGTTATCAACAGCCGCTAAATTATCGGGCGTTAACGTGATCGATCCACCTTGCCAAACGGTTAATTTCGTCCTATTAACCAGCACAGGCACCTCGTCGTTAACGGGTTGCACTGTCACCAAAACGTCGAAGGGTTCGCTGGTTTTATCCCCCGCAATGAGGACCATCTTGAACGAATCTGTGGGAAATTCATCCCCGTTGTGTTTGTACAATATTATTCCACCGTTCAGATGCTTGAACGAGGATTTCTTCGTCTCGGAATTCTTGCTCGATTCCAGAATCGTACCGTGTTTCGGTTTTTCCTCGATTCGAAAATTCGTCACCTTGTTGGAATAGTAAGGGGTGAGGATAGAAAAGTTGGTTTCATCGAGAATAGTACTCTTTCCCTCGACCACGACGATACCCTTCGCCTCGACGTAAAGTTTTTCCGGAACGATCACAAAATTGACGTTCAGATCGCGTAGCCAAGTTATTCCATTCGTCACGTCGACGACAAATTTATCGTTGGTCTGATTCATCACGGATTGCACGTAGAACACGCGACCCTCGTTTATCATGCTTTGATCGAAAGATTTCACCGCGTTTCCGATATAATCCTCTCGAGTCTCGTCGCTATGCTCGTCGTGAATTTGTAGCTCCAGATATCCATTCTGCGGCCACTCTTTCAAAAAATATACTATTTCGGACTCTGGTATCTTGGGATGCATGATCTCGAGACTTTTTCTGTTCAACAAGATACTGGTGGCTTCCTCCACGAACACCGTTTTATTGTTTTGAACGATCAATGCTTGCCAATAACTTTCGGGATAAATTTTAATCGGGAACAACCCCTCTGCCTCCGCACCCTTTGTCGATACCTTGAATTTAAAATCGTCCCTCGTCAAAGATCCTCCGAGATGTTTGTACAACACTATTCCATAACGCAAATTCTCTTTGTTGAATGCATTAGTTTCTCTACCGTGCTTCAACAGCACCCCGTGCTTCGGTTTCTCCAGTATCGCGTATTTGATATCTTTGTCCGTTGTGTACACATTCGTTTCGACGTCCAACTCGTTCGGACGAAGAGCGACCGATCGATTGAACTGCACCACGGACCCGTTGCTCTCTCTCAATCTCACGTAAGGTGGGCTGGCCTGAATTTCAAGGACACCGGCCGTGTAAAAGTAACCGTCGGTAACGCCGAACTCAAATTTTCCATGATCCTCGCCCTGATGTTTAAACAATATCTGACCGTCGTCGATGTCTTGTTGACTGAACTCGTGTATCTGCGAGGTGGGATTGGTTATCCTGTATATTCCATTTCTCTGCGTGTCCCTTCTCGTGTACATCAACTCGTTAGGCTTCGTGTCGATATCTTTGTCCGTATAGGCAAGATCCTTGTTCGTGAGTAATCTCTCGCCCTTGGAAACCACGTGAAACACCTTGTGAACCACACGTTCCGGCGCGTTGTCGTTCTTCATCGTCACTTCGACGCGAAACACGCCCACGTACATGAAATCAACAACGTCCGAGGCGATAGCGACGAATTGGAACGAGTCCTCCCTCGTCTCCGAGTCGTCGTGAACGTAGTACACTTTTTGGGACGAAAGTTCCTCGGAGGTGAAGTAGGAGGTGTTATTCCGCGAGTGAGACTTGGAATTGTTGGTGACGGTCAACCAACCGTGATGCGGAACTATGGTCAAGTTGTAGATCAACGATGTAACTCCGTAATCCTTTGGATTCGTTCGAACAATTCTTAGAGGTACTCTGGATCCCTCGTCGACCCTCACGGTTTCCACGCTGTCCAACGGTTTCACGTTCTTGCTGAGGTAATGCCTGAACTTGAACGCGGAATGTAAATCGATGCATTGCGGCGCGCTCACTTTGAAACCGAATTCGTCCAGAATCGTGGAATAGGCCCTCTTGAACAATCGATATTTCAATTTGCCGGAATCGATATCCTCTTGAGTGAACCCGTCTCCGACTTCTAGTTTTCGACTCGAAAGGAACAAATTACCGTATCTTGGTCCCATGGTCACGGTAAAAACGATCTTGTTGACCGCGGTTATCAGCGGGTTCGTTTGATACCTTAGATTTTGCCCGGTGACGATCACTTCCGCCACGTTGGTGAAGTTAACGGGTATCCTCTTGGCTTCTTTCAACTCGAGATCGATGAAAGTGATCCGAAAATCGTAGGTGTGTTGAGCTCTCACCTCTCTAACGCTGGCTTGAAACTTAAACTCGTCCTGATTCGGGCTTCCCTCGTTGTGAAGATAGCGTATCGTGTGCAACTCGATGTCCCTGCTCGTGAAATGATCGACGTTGATCCAGCTGCTCGAGACGTCCTTGAGCTTCTGAATCGTGCCAAATTGCGATTTCGAGACGATGTCGTAACGTATATCGATGGTGTTGTCGTCGGAATTCGTGGTGAAAGAGAGATTGGCCGGTGTCAGGTATGAATAGGATCGATGCACCACGACCAATCCCGTGTTGTGCATCAACTTGATCTCTAAAGGATGAGCCGCCACCCTTAAACTCGCCGGTTCGCTGTTTTCTATACCATCGCTCACCTGAAGATCAAGCTTCGCGTTCGGTTTCGCTGAAAAACGTAATTGAACCGAATGAAACGTTTGAATCGTTAATAAACCGATAATCGTGCTCTCGCATAGACAGCAATTAAACGACAATAATGATGTTTGTTTGCATAGTGAATATCGATGAAGCTGCGTTACCGTTTCCACGGTGTACGTATGCAATTAATCCTTGCATTAATTCAGCCTGGGTAAACGTGTCGATAGGTCGCGACGGATAAGTCACTCTTTCCACGTATCCAGCATCCGCGTCGGTACGTAAGACCGTATAAACCAACATGTCTGACGGTGTGTCGGCATCGATCGCCCAAATTAATTCTTTCGTTAAGATTTTCCTCGTGCCCTACGGATAATTAAGTGGATTTAGTTATATTTCCATCGTTTCGTCCTTCTAATTAAATACTCTGATTCGTTCGTCGTATTTCCGTATTTCCGTATTTCCGTATTAATAATAATAATTGTTGAAATAAAAAATTTCAATCGCGGTCAATTTTAGAAGAATTTATCGGATAGAAGCATCAAGATTTTTCATTTCAGAATTGATTTCGAATGTTCGATGTTTTATATATATCGCGAGAGTAGATTTTCACGACGAAAGAAATTATTTCATTTAGGAAGATCGCGACTCTAAGTGGTTAATTAAGGGCAACGAACGACTGGAGCGACTTAAATCGATTTCGTTACGACTCGACCTCCACGTTCGTTCAAAGATACGAATGTTGAAAACAGTCCACAATTTCTTCGATTCCCGATTAATTGATTTAGCGAAAGATCGCCTGAAGCGTTGCGAACTGTTTCGCGTCAATTACGTTCACGTGGCTTTGAACTTTTTGATTTATTGGAAAACTTCTTTGCGCGACAAAAATCTCTCGGAAAATTATATATATATATATACATATATCGTATAGACGTTTGTATCTCACCTGAGCGAGTCGTAGCACTTTTGCGGTCAATATTTCGAGCAATGGGGGATCATTAACGGGTGTAACGTTGACGTGAAGCGGAAACCTAAGTCGTCCTTGAAGGTAGCCTGGCAACGCGTAACCAGCTCCTGCCACTAACGTCACTTCCAGAATCATACTGTCCTCCGTGGTTTCACTGCCATCATGCATATATTGTATCTGCCAAGAAATTTGATCGTAATGACGAGACGATGCAGTGGCACGTGTTAAATAATGTTTCTAGAACGTATAAATATGTATGTGCGTGTGTGCGCCTCTGCTCTGTACTACGAGTACTACGCTATAAAGAGTGTGCTATAACAATTGCTGCGTAACGGAGTCGAGAAATTCATCGAGCGCGGTGACATTAGGGAAAATTAAAAAGGAAATGAGCAAAAAAAATGAGCCATGAACCGGTCGTTAACGAGACGTTTATTTCATTTTATTTCATGATTTATTCACGACAGAGACGCGGCCATAAGATGAACTTTTCAATCTCCCTTCCCCGGCCAACGGTTTTCTTAACGAACCAATAAACTCTCTTAATATCTCGAGACTCGTGTCTTCCGCGTGGCTTGCCGTTTTTAAAATTAAACTTCCTTAAAGATTCCCTTTGCATTTTTCCATCGGTGAATCATTACCGGTGTTAAATCTGCCGTCTGTTCCCAGTTAGAATTAATTAAAAAAGCGGACGAGTTATAAATCGACGATTAGCATAGCGAATCTCGAGGCGCGAATTCCTCCAATATCTCGATACATCCGATCGTGGGAATAAAATTTCGTTTATTCGAAACGACGTGGAGAACGGTTTAACGGATAAGTGATCTCGGTCCCGACGTTCACCCTTACGAAAAACCGTTAATAAGCGGTGGTGGTGTTTATAAATAGGACAGTGTCGGTGGATAAATCGGGTGCAAGTAGAAGAGGAACAGACAACCGAGAGAGTCGTGACGACACGAGCACGGTACGTGGCCCCCCCACGGTTCTAAAGTTAGGTCCTTGTGCCGCGAACTATCTATAGCTCGTGGTCCTATGACAAATTCGAATAACGTGTGTGATTTTCTTCGTTCGTTTTCTTCCTTTTTTTCTCTTCGAATTAATCGGATATAAATTGATTGATCGATCGTATGACATTTAATGGACATTTGAAAAAAATTTGTTGTTGTACGACAATAGAGTATAAAATTTATTCACCTTATCTTGGTCGATGTCTCGAAGAGTGAAAGAATGTTCGGTTCTGGTAGTTAAGAGATCCAGAGTGAGGGTCCCGTAAGTGGGCGGTGTTATCAAGGTGAAGATAACACCGTCCTCTTCCACCCCATATTTAGCGATGTCTAGTACCATGGCAATGTTATCGCTCGTCACCAGCACATGTCCTCCTTCGCATACCAGTAGGGGACTCGATGACAGTATTTCCAAGTTCACGGGTAAATTTGCTTTCGAGTGAGTCTGAAATTCGAAATCGAAGCTTCTTATATGAATCCAAATTTTCTTCTGGAAAAATATATGGAAAAAATATTGACGAAAGGAAGGCAAAAGCGTTATTAAAAATGTAAAAATCTCTAAGGAAAGAAATACACGGTGGAAGGATTGCTCGCGACAAGCGATCGATTCTTATTTACCTCGTAATCCTCGGCATGATTCGGATTGATACACGATAGTTGGTCACAGTCGCACTTAAACGAGCTGACACCCAGTTGAGAGCAAACTCCCCCGGAAACACAGGGATCAGCCTCGATACAGGGAAATCCCCAAACGCAGCCGACCACGATGCCCTGGCTGATTTTAACATCCGGTAGACCGAGCTCCTTGTTATCCAACATCATATTTCTCAGGCAACCCTTGTAGCTCACGTCACCGGATTTAAGACCTTTCCCGAACGCCTTGGCGCGTTTGTTGAGCTCGGTACCGCCGATGTACAGGGTGTCGGCCAGATCCAGGTAACGATTCCCGCCGGAGGGCAAGCTGATGGTTTTTTCTTGACGATCGACCGTGATCCCGATCCCGCTCGGATTGAAATCGACGGCGACCCGGTGCCACTTGCCGTCGGCCACCGGTGTGCCGTGTATCAACTCGGTCGGTCCATTCCCTTTGTTCATCAGAAGTCGAATTTTACCCTCGAACAACTCGATCCCGAGGTAATCGGCGTACGAGGATTGGCCGGTGTTGTAGAGCAGCAGCCCGCTCTCCTCTCCCGTCTTCAACTCGAATTCCCATCTACCGAACAAAGAGGAGGAGGAGGATGGTGAAGAAGGGGGGTGGTTGATCGAATGGGGCTAAAATTGAAAGGAAGTCGTTCGTCGAACTTCGCTTGGCCGCGACTACGAACTCCGTCACGAACCTGTGTTCACGAGTGAACGCGTGCCGGATACAAGCTAAGCCCAAGATATTAGAGAATAATGTTAAAACTTGCCGGTTAACAACATTCCCGGTTAGTAGTAAGCCGAGTTAGAATTTCGCAGTTGACTTGTTCGGATCCGCGACTAACGCGTTTCCTTGAATGGACTCGCTTCAAACCGTTAGCAGGGATGGAGGAGGAGGAGGAGGAGGAGGAAGAGGAGAAGAGGGGCCGCGCGAAACTTGCACTTTCTTAACAGTTTCAAGGGAATTATCCGATCGTTTGCATCTTTTACAGGGAAGATTGGTCGATTTAGCGAGCGAAACTTGACTCGAAATTGATTTATACGTAATTTCTAACAAACGTTTGAAAATCCCTCCGCTCGAACATCGATAAAACGATATTGCCTCCCGTGATGAAAGTAGCGCGTTCGAGTGCGCTATTGACGCGCGATAATCGGATGAAAACGGCATTAAATCGGCGTGATATTATTTGGAGAGGAAGCTAAATGAATCGTGCGTTAACGAGTGACTTAGGAATCATCCCTGTATTGGTGATTTTTTTTTCTCTCTCTCTCTCTCTATCTCTATAAAATTTCCGCGTTTAAACGAGAAATGAATGAAAAAATGACGATTGCACGAAATTAACGATCGTTCTCGGACGGTTGAATCGAGTCGCGATTAACGTTTTTGTTTACACGATTTATTCAAGTCGAGGTTGGTCAAAAGCGTTTAAGAGGGCCGTCTAAACGACACCGGTGCTTTCATTTCCGACGGGATGTTTGCCGTGGACGCCGCTCGTTCCATAGCACCGACAGAATTCATCAGAGCTCTGGATATCCCAAGGATGTTCGACGTACAATACATAGAAGAGAAGGGGGGAACCAGGATTGTTGGCATTGTTTCGAAACGGTTGCCACGATACGCAACAGGTATTACGCTGTTACCTTTATTCTCCGAAGCGAGCGTTGAATTAAGAATCGCAACGAGTATGCTTTTAATTTTCCAGAGACAAAGACTTTCGGGATTGTATCTACGTTGCGCGCATCGCGATGCGATTCGATTCGATTCGAAAGACTTGTGAAACCGCTGCTCCAAATCCTCGGAGAGATAAAAAAATTGCTTCGTTCGGGAGTATCGAACTCGAATATCGAAACGCGGTCGGATTATCGATATCGCGTATTTCTTAATCGAGAAAAGTAATTTGATTATGCGCGTTTTAATTAAAATTCTCGCGAGAGAAGATTCTACATTTCTATCGTTATTATTTTCAAGAAATTTTACAATATTCGGTTACAGATTATTTTCCATGCATTGTGATGCGAAATGTTAATTTAAAGGAAATAAAAATAGGATAGACGCGACACTATTGGGAGAATCTGTGTGAGTTCGATCGATTAATGACGAACGGCGACAGACGACAGAGTCTAAATATCTTATAAATCATACGTATACACACAGAACGAGTACAGATATTACGAAGCAAGATGGATCGATATACGAAAGAGATCTGGCGTGTCTTTCGATATTTATTCAATTCACTCCTCTCTTGGTACAATTCTCACAGTGGTATTAATTTCACAAACATCGTTTTTCATTTAGTCGAGGAGACAGATAGAGAGAGACATAGAGAGAGAAAGAGAGAGAGAGAGAGAGAGCAAAAAGAAAAACGAGAAAAAGAGAATAAGAGATTTACTATTGCGATTCGTCGAACCAATCAAACCTCTTGTTCCCAAAAGTCTTTGTTATTCTGAAAAGTGGGATCAAAGTGTTTTCCTAGAGGATACGAGCAGACATCGTTCTAACTAGTAACGATGCCCTCGTTGTAACGTGATTGCGGTTTTTGTTTGGAGCTTTCCAAGATGCTTTGCCAACGTCCCCGTGGGTTTTCACCGTTAAAAAGTAGTGCAGACATTCGTCAAAGGTTTTCACAGGGACGTTAAAAACTTTACCGGTATTTTTCAAGGAAGAAATTCATCGGAGATACGTTCGACAAAAAAAAAAAAATATCCATTTTCGATATTGGTCGCTATCCTTCCAACAACGTGCTTCGTTGCGAAGCATCTTGATAAATATCGTATTCTAAATTTAAACAAACCGGCTCGAGTATGACCCAATTTAAATCGAAAGGGAATCGAATTAGCTTTGCCGTCGTGTCGCTATCTCGTTTTTACTTCATGAAAATTGTTTATTCGATTATTAACGCTTTACCAACGCTTGGCACGGTGCACACGCACGCTAACTTGTAGTCACCGTTTAGTTTTGATAAACGCGCGCTCGACTATTCGCAAACTGGCGCTAAAATTGACTTGGAAACTAAATTTCATATTTATCCCGCCGCTTTAAACGGGGCACGCATCAAATATTGTCGTTAGTTTATATCCATAGCGGTTTGGCCGTCTATCGGCAATTTCTGAAACCGCTAATAACAGCTGTTCGGTTGACGAAGTGTCAGACGCGAGGTTCGTTTCGCTGTAATTTCGTTAGGTCGATTCATTTCCCGATTCGGAAAATCGTGTACGTACGTATATGCACGTGTACGCGCGTATGTTTCATTGCGACTGATGCTTATGTAAGCGAAATCGGTTTGCGCGAGCCCGTGATATTTCGAAAGCGAGGAAATAGACACGACGAGTAATTAAATGGATACGTTTTCGTTATCGGGCAGCTCGGTTTGAATACGAATTAATTTGATTAGTTAGGGAAATATCTCGAAAGATATATTCTTGAACGAGGGATATTCGAGAATCTCGTAAAGTGCGCGTTCGAGTATAATTTATACACGATGAAAAGACGCTTTTGGTGTTACGTACTTGGAGCCCGAGCGTGGAATGGGTCTTGGGATCGCTGTGAACGCACCATCCTCCACGAAACTAACTTCCGTGCTCCTCGTAGCGTCGAATTCCGGTGAACAGCTCCACGTAACGGCGGTGGCCTCCGACTGGCCTTTCCTCGACTTGGCGTATTCTATTACTCTGGCGCCATTGTAGATTATGTCAGCCATACAGCCTCGCAAGTAATCCGTGTGTCCTGCGGAACAGAGAAAGAGAGAGAGAGAGAGAGAGGAGGGGAGGGGGACATTAAAAATTGAAAGAAAAATGTATTCTCGTCTACCACGCGTGTACGGATAGAAACACGTTTTACCTCGACGTTATTGCCGGAGGAAAATGCGCGCTCGATTATCGTTAATTCACACGGAGAAGCACAACATCTCGAACGATTTTACTCGAGTCGTTAGAAATCGCGAGAGACTTTCTCGAATTGGCGTTTTCGCAATTGCCTTTGAACGAGGTGAGCTCGCGCGGGCAAATAACGAAACGGGTCGGATATTAAACTCGATGGCCAGAACTCGATTCTTATATTCTCGCCGGAACACAGGGAACGCGGTGGCACACTTTGGCACCGGTTCACGAGGTATCATTCAACGGCAGAGGTTTTCGCGAAAGAGTGGTGTAATGAAAGCGTCAGTTGCAAACCGCATCGGGGTTGATGGCCAGATAATCTCAGTTTCGTCGGCTGCCAGGGAACGAACTAGGCTATCGAATCCACCTACGAATTGTGCGATTCGCCAAATAAGATTCGTCGAAAGGACGATAATCGTCCGCGCGAGATTGTTGTTAATTTATTATTTCGAAGGAACGCGAACGCGTCGGTGTTTCGAAGATTCGAAGATTTCGATTTACTCGTCCGATCAAAGGGAATCGGAGGTGTTCGCTCGAACGAATCTTATTGTGTTAAGTTGTGGCGGGTATCGGTCTCCAAGTTGGCTTGATCCGGTTGGCAAGACGTTGTTGACTCGATACCTGCGGCGGGAAACGCATAAGCGAAAATTGAAGGGGTGTTTTGGGACGGGACTCGGTGATGACATTTTCCGGTGTAGTGGTGTATAAACCTCGGCAATAAACCGAGCCGTTCATAGTGCGGTGAATCGTTCATCCCGCAACTTTGCCGCAGCTACCATTCTACGTGATCCTTTCGCGTGCTCCACGATTATATTAATTGGAGAAGTTTCGAAAACGGTTTTTCCTCCGGGCGACTGAAGATACCGCGGATAACCGCTAAATGGACCGAGGTCACTGGAAAATGTCCCCTCTAGGGGAGGGGGAACTCGATACCACCTCTCCTCGGAGTTGGTTTTAAGGATCTGCT